ATTTAGTTATTAAAAGGAATCTAACATCAAACAAATTGCCATTTACATTTTACTTTTTGCAAGAATTAACATTCAATGATAAAATATTCAAAGATACCCTCTTAATTTCACAAAAGAGTGGGTTCTTTTCCAAACAAATAAATCATGCCTAATATTGTGTGTTTAGATTAGATCTTTTGCTTTAACTTTGGAAATTGAGATCATTTTAGATCATATTTCTGTATAAACTAATTTTTTTTTTTTTAATATTACTGTAAACCTAATGGGTTTTGATAAATTTACTCTGCACTACGGAATTTCCAATAAAAAAGAAAATTAATTTAAAAGACCATAGATTAAAAATAAGTAAGGCGTAACATATTTTCAATCTATGTTAAAGCACAACTATTTTTACATAATGAAATTTAGTAAATCAAATTATTATTTGTGGCTTTTATTTATTAAATCAATTAAGAACATAATCTCAAAACAAAATTTAGTGACAAGAAAGATCGACGTTTCGGGTCCATCATGAAACCATTCTCAAGATCAAGTAAATTGAAAAAACTAAAAACAAAAATACCAAGCAGTGACAGGCGAGACTTTTTTTATACCTTGTTTGACAAACTATGTACATTTTACTGTACTGTTTTTCCGTTTTAAAATGTTTGTGCTCGTTAGCAATTTAGATTTATTGTTGATGTTATCCATGACATGGTAATACGTACTGCGAAATGCTAGGCCTCTGAAAGTCCCCGTAGTTGGTAGTCGCCACGTTATTGGAAATTTTTATTTCAAATTTCACGAAAATGGTTTATAACATTCGCTGCAAGTTCGTCATTCAAAACTGGTGCCGAATCAATGTTTTAGAGCCTCTCATCAGAGCCATTAATAATAATAATAATATTAATAATTGACCGCAAATATAGTAATAATATCTAATAATATTAATAATTTTTAAAAATACTTAGACCTACTCCCAGAGCTACTCACAGGAGCTAAAAACTAATTTATTTTAGTTCTCAAATATGTATATTCTTTATGTTGATTTATTAATTAAATTTTCACTACAGGGTATTTTACAGCATTTATTTATCTATTATTAATTTTTTTTTCTTGAATTTTATAATTGAGGGCCATTTTTTATTTCTTGATTCAATTCTTGCTTATACAGTATTTAAATATTTGAAGATTAAAAAAAATATATATCATTTAAAATATACAGTATCATTTCTTTTACCGAATTTTTCATTGGGGCCATTTTTACCTACCTGTCTTATGGGGCCATTTTTACCGGGGCCATTTTTTCCAGGGCCATTTTTTCCGGGGCCATTTTTTCTGGGGCCATTTTTCCGGGGCCATTCTTACCTACATTCTGGAATCAGATATAATTGTTGATGATTATCATTCTCATTGATATATATTTATTATCATTTCAGGATTATTTTTTGTATCATTTATTTATTTATTATTTATTTATTCAAAACATTCAACACTCTATAAAGGACACCAATACAGGTTCGCAATAAAAATACAATTATAAATTATAATATATTGTTATTATTCCTATTGTTATTTCTATTAATATTACTTATATTTGATTACTATTATTTTTTTCATTTTATTACTATTATTATTATTATTTGGCCTTTTATTATTATTATTGTTCTTATTATGGCAATAATATTATAATTAAGGAATATTATTATTATTACTATTATTATTATTATTATTATTATTATTATTATTATTATTATTATTATTATTATTATTATTATTCATTCTCATTACTATCATTATTATCAGTGAAAATGATATTTCTAATTAATTTAATATGCGTTGCTATGAAAATACAATGTACAGGCACTTAGCAACGAGAGGCAGTACAACTGAACTCGATTAATAATAAATTCATGACAAAATTATCCGTACGGTTTGATTATATTCCTGGTTGTATTGTATTACATACGTGTTAATATATGTCCAAATATTCAAAGATATTCAGGGTACAGTATTCAAACTCTGTTAGTATTCCGTAAAACGTCATCTGACGAACTATCGTAATCGTAAAATTACATAACTAAAATGATAGTCTTTTAATCTGGTATTTTTTTTTCAGAAGGGTTCCACAAAACTACAGATGAAGGACAAAACTAAATTTTCTTAAATGTATTTAAGACAATTATTTGGGATCGCATTTATGTTTTATTTATTATTATTTTTTTTAATGAAACAGCTATGGGGAGTCACCAGTGATATGTGATAATTGATATAATTTACTGCGCGCGATTGTTTCATTTACGTTTTTTAATGCATAATTTATGGTAATAATAACATCATTTTTCTGGTGGTAGAACAAGTCTTCTCGGATAAGGACTATAAACCTTAGGCCTAGTGTATACAATGGCTCGTGTGCACTATAAAGAACCCAGTACATCATTCGAGACGAGTAGGGGGATACCCCGGTGTACTGGAACAGACAGCCCCTGCGGTGGACGACGAGAGTTGCTGGTACCGGGTTACCGGGTAGCCCAGACACGAAGGAACCCTTAGGGGCGAAGAAAGTCATTGATCGAGTTCCTAGTCCACATACCAAGCTCCCTGAGCATCTTACATTAGGTGGATGTGCGCTATATAAAACTACACTATTATTATTATATTTATACGTCGGTTAGGCATTTTTTCATTAATAACGTATGATGAATTAATTTAACTAATGGAATGGTGATATGCATAACATGCTATCTTGTTGTTTCAAGGTTGTATGTCTATCAGGAATCAAGGATACTTTATTGTCATCGATCAAACAAGCGAACTATGAAATTTA